ATATGTATTTACTAAACCCAGGACATGTTTTATTATGTGGTTTAAAGGACATTTCAGGTACCAAACGTTTATTATTGATGAACTTATTTAAAAATCTTACTAGACTTATGCTTATATTATGAAGTGAATTATGTAGTACTTTGTATACATGTAAATGGTAATAAAACTGTCACAAATCAGATTAATTCTAAATAAAGTTTTGCAAAATTTCAATATTGTGAATTTGTAGATATCCATTTATCGTAAAAACAAAATTTTACGACTTGCACTTGGAAAATAATGAATACTTCAGTTTTGATTTTGACATAACACCATATAGATTGCAATTTACTCGGGACTTTTCTATCACATACTATAAGAAATAAAAAAAATTTAAAGCTAAAAAGTAAGAAAAAACTCGAATTGTAATTGATACAAATTAAAATGTAAACAATGAACACGAACGCCAATGTTGCCAAATGATGAACTGATTTTAAAACAAAATTAATAAATGAACTGAAATTTAAAAAAAATCAATATAATAAATCGGTTTTATAAAAAAAATATTTAAATAAATATAGAGTATACACAAATTTTGATTCTTAAATAAAAGGTCTCATCCACTTCTTCAAAAGCTAAAATCCGACGACGTAGCGAAATTTTGCTACTTCTGGCAACACTGAACGATATCCTACTTATAGGGACCTCCTACAAATTTCCTCCAGAGGGCGTATCACTTAGCTTGAATCGCGAATAGGTTTGTTCGGTTTTCTTTAAAATTTGATGCAGACATTGCAGACCGTCCAAGATCCAGTTGAACATCTGAATAGCAAATTATTCGCCGCGTACAACTTTTAAATTGTTCACTGGTCAACTAGTCCTCTGATAATTCTCAACGTATTTTTGAAGAACCCGAACAATCCTTCTTAATTTCAATTTGAGCTGTGTCCAAGCCGTTGAAGTCTATGCCCATAGAAAAACTAAAAAGAGAAGGTTTGAATAATAGGCGGGAATTGTTTCCTTGTTTGTAGTTTATCATATCGCGCTTCACGCGCTGCGAGCACTAAATAAAAGCCGTTTTCACACCCATATGATAATTAAAAAATGAATAAATTTTAAAGAAATCAATAATATTTTACTAATGCAATCTTTTAAATATCACTTTAATACAATATAATGATCAAATACAGGGATAATTGTTATAAATTTATAAAGTTAAAGCTACATTTGAATATTATGAGGTAGTGTAAATCTGGCTTTGCTAATAAATTAGGTTATGTTACACTAAAACATGACAGTCGTGGAAAATGTAGGTGAGTAAAATTTAATTAATTTTATTTTTAATTTAGTTTTAGTTAAATTTAAGTAATTTATAGGTGTAAAAATATACTGAGGTCCTTAACGATGTCATTAACTTATAATAAATTCACATTATCATGTGCTGCTCCAAATTGCAGAAGCAAATATTATTTACATTCACTTAATAAGAAATTTTTTACTTTTCCCTCCATTATTACCCTTAGAGAGAAATGGTTTGATATTTTAAATATTCCCTACACATCTAAAAAAAACTATAGTGCGAGGATCATTTTGACGAGAATGCCTTCACCAGCACTTTGCCTACTAAGCTCATTAAATTTGCCTTGCCTTTAGCGCCTTTAGAAGAGAATATTACTACTAATAATAATATTACATTAGATGAAAATTTTTCAAAGCTACCTTCATCAAATTCTCTTGCAAAAATAAATGTAATTAGTAATGTTTTGATTAAACCTTCTGTTTCGAATATAACTTCAGCTAAAAGAAAGCTAGATTTTTTAATGATAGAATTGAATGTGTTGAGGAACCTTTAATAAAGAAACCACGTGTAAGAACTGGTATTTTAAATCAAATTAATGCAACTACAATTGGTAATTTAACTCCTAGAAAGAGAAAATTTTATTATATTAATCGAGAGCAGCAAAACAAAATTTCAAGATTAAAAAATAGTTTATTAAAATCTAAAAATACAATTAAGACTGCTTTAAAATTATCAGAAACAAATTTATTTAAAAATTTTAGTTTAATTTTAAGATACACACTGCGCCTTTATTTTTTTTGTTTTAGTTATTCCTGAGTATGGAGATTTTTGGAATGGATATTGCAACTACAATGAACCGAAATAGATGGGTGAAGGGATAGTAAAGTGGTTTAGTGCCATAGTTACCTAACCAACAAAATTTCAAAACAACTGGTCTTTGTTATTGTTTTAAAATCATTTCTATACATGCCAAAGTTACCTATTCCTTAAAATTATGTAGTTCATGACAAAATTAAATACTTATTTGACAAGTGACTATTTTTAAATTTTTCTTAAACTTTGATCTCAACTTAATTAATTATTTTTTAGCAACTCTGGCACTGGAACACCCAATAGAGCTTAAGAATAATAAAAAAAATTTCAGGTAGTAAACTCAATTTATTTTTAATGTGTACTTTTTGTGATAATGTGTAATTTTGTGATATTAGGTAATTTTATAGATATAAAATAATAATATTAATAACAATAATAATCGTGATTAGTGTAAACGTATATTTTTAAATTAACTTCAACCCTTGAACATTTTTCAACATATTGTGAATATGATGTTTAATATAATGTAATGATATAGTTACCTATTCTAAATAAAATAAACTTATTACAAATGTTTTTATTTTTCATTTAAAACAAGTGACATTTTCCGTTTTTCAGCATTTACTTACAATAAAAATTCATTTTACTTATTGATTGTTTCAATTATTGTAAGTAAAAGCTGTAAAATAGGAAAATGTTACTTGAAATTACTTCAAATTTCATAAATTTTAAAGCCCGCCATTTTTTAAATCGCTTTACCTAGTAGTTTTCTACTTTACCGACTGTACCGAATTATAGTTCATCATAACGCGCTCAGCGCGCCACTGTCGAGGTCAAACAAACTTGTTACCAACTATTTACAGGGAAACTGGCTACCCTGTCTATGCCGGTCGACGTAGTCAGATAACGTTGATATTTTCTGGTCATTGCTTCGTCTTCTGCGCATGGAACGTGTTTCCCCAAAAAAATAGCTAGTACCCCACAATAGCTACAGGTGCTGTTTCGTTGTACGCGCGATTTTATGACGCGTTTTATACAATTTTTCTGATATCGAAAGTCGCATTTTTTGATTGTACAGGTAAAAAATGACGATTAACGTTTGATGATTGAATTGATCTGGCAACCCTGTATTTCTTTTTAGATGTTTTTCAAATGACAGACGACAGTAGTAAAATGTCACTCTGATGTCACCAACCGTTTTAAAAATTTTAAAAAACAAATGCAAAGAAATTATAAGCGTTTACGAAAAAAAAAAAATGTGTATGGTTTATTGTTCTATGGATAGTCTAATATTGTTATTTAGCAGTTTTTGCTAGAAGAAATTATTCAAAAGTCACGTGTTTTTAAAATCGTGATCCGATGACACATTTGGAAGTTTAAGGTAAAAACAACTTATTTTTAAGCGTTTCCAGAGCGAAAATTTGGCCCGTTCGTGTTTTGGCATATTTTCCCGAAATTGTTATTAGTACCTACTTGTCTGTAAAATAATTTTCTACACCAATGTTTCACGTTCACATCAGCTTCGCGGTAAAACTGTCAAATCATGTGTACGAAGTTCGGGAGAACTGCGAAAGGCCTTTCCAACTTCTGTCCCTGCTATACCTATATTATGTTGGCAGCTTACGATTATCAATAAAATAAATTCCATTTAAAATTTTCAACCAAATCTATGATTCCTTCGAGAATCTCATGATCTTGCCAAGTAGGACCCATGCCTATGAAGTAGGTATATACTGCAGCATCTTCAATACCTAGATAACACAAAGACGCAATATCTTTTGCGCTTTTTTCAAGAACTAATCTATCTAAAAGTACCTAGGTATTTACGCTACACACAGTATAGAAATGAAAATATATAATTTTCAAATTGAATCTCATTTTATAACAATGTAGGTATTTTATAATTAACGACTGTACAGAAAACAAAAACAGTAATCATGCTCTCAATCAATAGAATTTTATATTCCTACCTAACTACATACCTACGTTATCAAACGACTAGAATTTTAAATTTTATTGACACTGCATATCAGAAAAATAACAACCTATATTTATTTATAACCGTATAAACACAGCGGATCTTGAGCAATATTGTTTATATCGCAAAAATTTGCATATCAAAATTTATTGAGGTTAGGTCAGGTCGATAAAACTTGAATATCAATGCCAACTTGAGTAGGTACATTTATACCTTTAAATGTTCATACAAATAGCGATACAATTTATTATATTTCACCCTGATTTAATCGGAAACCTATTACAAAGGGCTAACCGAAATATCCGATGAGATTCCGATAGAGCAGGTTGGTCATTTCCTAAAAATCTATTCACAGGTGCATCCTATTCGACTATTTTCGCATTCACCATCTGCCCGCAACAATAGATTCAACATTTTTTAAGGGGTTAGCCACCCCGAGAGATTTGACCTTTCAAGTACTCAACCGTTCCCACCCCAAAATATCGTCGATTGTGCGGGACATGGTGCGCCAAAAAAACTCATTAATGCACTAGACGCGTTCCCAGAATATGCATCAGAAATGAAAAAAACAGAGACTGCGACAGTCTAGTTCTATGTTGCCCGATTCGATCCTCCCGCCTTTGCACCGAACAGCGCATGCGATAACACCAGCACAACTTGATAACCGGCTTTTCAAAAAGGAAAATAGACAAGTGCATTGGAAAAACAAGTGATTTTGTAAGTGCGAAAACTATCGAATTTAAAATCTCTATAATTTAACATCAAAATGCCGTACTGCCACAACTTAGACACAACGCCAGTACGTAAATATCCTGTGAGCGAAATCTCGAGCGATAACAACACAGCCGCCTTGATTATTTTGTGCAAAATTAAATACACATTTATTGGCAAAGACACGTAAAGCGAATAGTAGATAAAATTTGTGCTTACCCAACCAATATTAACTAGATATTTACAAAAACTGTACACAAAACACCTAAAAATAATAACAAATTTATAAAATTTAAAATGGCGGCCGCCGACTGTAATGGCCAGCGTCAACGTGACGGGTTGAGATCCGGGCTTTACCATTTGACGCGCAGGGGTAAGGCTTGCCTACCGATGCGCAATTTTACATCGATGTTGCCACGTTTCTAATTAGTCCGAAAATTTGCAAACTTATTCGTGCAGAAACTCAAGAATACAATTTAAATAATCGACGTTATTTAATTATTAAACTAACAAAATTTAATATTTTTTGCATAATGTAGAAGCGCCCGATATTATTATATATAAATAATTAAGTTAAATGTGATTTTAGAATATCACATTATTTTTTTAAAAAATGGCATTCTATTTGGAAAAGGGATTTCAAAATAGTATTAAGGAACAAATTTTCAAAATGGAATATCTCAGATCTTTGAAAATCAAAATATATATTAGTTATTCTTCTCTAAAGACAAATTCACATAAGTTCCATGCAGTAATTTCTTTCCGACTTGATTCTCATTCGTTTCTCATTTTAAAATTCATACTAGGTATACGAATAATTAGAAAACTAGGCATCAGATCAAGGTTCTACATTAAAAAATAAAACTTATTTGACTTCGTTTAAAAAGTTATCAATAGCTTCATTTAGACAAATATATTTGAAAGAAAGAACATTGAACAAAGAGAATGGTAGGTTTTTAAAAAATGGCTATAGATATGTGCAGTAAAATTATCTGGTTTTATCTGGATAAGAAAGTGTATGGTTTACTGCGTTTTTAACAAAATAATGTAACATAAAGGTATGATTAAAACGATAAAAACACCTTCTTGGTCTTACGAGTAAAAGACAAGATCACATTTGTTTAGGAATCATAAAAGCCCTACTTACGGGAGACACTGTGTTTTAACAGGTTTAGCGCCACAATAGTGCATATTTTAACGTCTCCATGGGCTGATCTTATAAAGTAGAAAATGTGTTAGTTATAAATATAAGCCATGTGAGTCCGGATTAGCTTCTCAGAAGAACATGTCACAGCGTTCTAGACCATCTGGTCGAGCCCAAAACGCTCCTGTATATTTTAAATGAGTTCGAGAAGCCTGACAAACTAGCATGCGAGTCAACGTCGGAATCACGCGACCCGTATATCACTTTTATAGGTAGGTCCCTGTTGGCTTCTAATAGCATTTAACCTGTTAAGTCAAAGAATGAGATGAGGAAAATGGAGAGTTAGAACTGCAATTTTTGCGATGAAGCAACAGAAACTGAAGAAATGTAAAATGTATTAACACATGCATCAGTTAGTCCCCGAAAACATAGAACAGACTTTACGAAAACTGTGGGAAACTTAGGTATTATTTAGAGGCATTCACAAAAGATCTTTTAAAATAGATAACAGAGGAGAGGGTTACTAGCCCTAATGATATAACTACAGATTACCCCAACGACTACAAAATACTTAATTCAACATAATTATGAGTAAATTATGAAGCATAACAGTCTCGTATATACTATGTAGTTATTTTTTGGTATAAACAAATTAATGTAGTCGAAATTTGAAAAATAATTGATTATTCTGGTAATATTCGTGCTCGTATTCGTATTAACTTTTACAATAATTTGTCTCTACCTAAGTAAAAATGTCAAATAATGAATCGAAAAAGATATTGCATACTAATAAAGGACGCATTCTCGCAAACTATTATAATTAGTTAGTCACAGGTCATAGTTGATATGGACCATCTTTCGATCAACTAATATGTATTCAACAATACTCAAAGCAAAACTTCAAATTTACTTGAAAAAACCTATGGAACTGCTTTTAAAAACATATAAATAATAAAAACTTCTTTAACATTCATTTATGCTATTGAAATACGAAGGCAAAGTGTATCAGACATGGAAGTGCTTAGAAATGTAGAAAATGATAACGCCAGAAAAGATAAGATAACAAATTGGCCGATTCAGATACCCATTCAAAAGAATAGTTAAAATGTAAAATTTATGTTTCATAGGAATAATTAAAAATTTAAAAAAAAATATAAGATTATCGTTTTAAATTTAACGTTTTACTGTAGCTTTTAAAGTACTTAAATATCCTGTATGATTTAAGAAAACATGTAACTAACTGAATACCTGTTTTAATAACGGTTACATTGTACTGTAGCATATGTGACATTTTGTAACAGAACTGGAGTATAAAAGAACACAAAACTGACATTTCTATACCTACACCAATCAATTGATGTAGATGTAATTTTATTGTTAATTTTATAATAATAGATGAGAACGTTCCAACTACATTTTTAAACAAAATTGCTGAACATAAAGGTCATATAAACGTAATTTAAAGCAAATAATTTTCGTAGCGTTACAAGTCGAATCTCAAAAAGACCGTTGAATATTTTATAGCAATATCTTGTGAAGTCGCGAAATCCGACAACGTCGCAAAAACTTTTCAGACGTTCTAAATGCACAGGTCGATTTTAACCGAAGAAATGCCGACGGATCGATTGCACTCTAGCTAGACACCGAACAAAATAAAAAAAAAAAAGACAAAGAACACCGTTAAGACTGCAGTTTAAAAACGTAACGAATGCGCCGATTAAAATATGCAAAAAATAAATTAGCAGAAGTAGAAGAAAATAAATTAGCTAGTCAATTGGATTCGGTTGTTTTGGGAAATGCGTGCGGTATTTTAACCGCCTATTTTTGAAAATTCAAAAAATCAAACTTACCAATAAGTTAACAGTAAAGAATCCTGAATTTTTAATACACTTGAACAAACACAACAAACATGATTTGTACAAATAAAAAATCAACACTGATCAACAATTCTGTTCAAAAAAATATATAACTAAAAATTACTTAACATAAAACAGCGTAAGAATGTTTAAAACTTAAAACACAAACAAAAATCGACAATTTTCAAGTAGTTTCGTAACAAAAAATAGTAAACAAATTTCGTGTGGAATTTTTTGGTGTAGTACCGACTCCCGCGGATTCAAATGCAGTGTGCACTCTGTAAATTCCGTTGTTTTGCAACCAGTCTGGACGGCGCGTTTCGGCTTGCATTCAGGTTGTTAGCCGATTTTCGCGCACGCGCTTTGTCGCACCAACCAGTCTGGCATCGCATGCCGTGATCCGGCAACAATCCGATAGATACCAATTCGCCAATGACTGCAAAAAATTACATTCATTATTCATTGCATTCCTATGTTGATGCTAATAGACGCGGACTCTCGTTGGTCGAAGGAAAATTACCGGCCATGTAAGTAAAAACTTTAAATAGGTATTTGCATTTTTAACTTCAGCCACCTGACATTTTATAAATAGGTGAACATCTACCTAGGTAGGTACCTAAAAGAATGCGCGGTAAATGTAAGAATGCAGATGTTTGTTTTTGTTGGTAAGTAGGCACTTTGCATAGTTTGAAATTAAAGTTGCACCAGAAATATTGTAAAGTCTTAAATCAGTATTAGCCGACAACCCATTATTACCTATTGTTCGAGATGTAGATAAGCAATAAAATTGTGTGTCCCTTAAAAGATTCCCAGGTCCGGATTAAATTATCTTATGAAATAGGTGTAGGTAGGTAGTTATGCTTTTTAAAAATCGTTAGCTCTCCATCATTGGGTAATTTAGCTATTACCTAGTCGGCCACTTTAGATGACATTCAAATAAGTTGCTCAGATGTTTTCCAACTTAGGATGCTAGTTCTGAGATAGTAAGAAATCACAACTATTAGACTATTATGTGTTTACAGAAAAAAATAATGTGGAAAAATCCGCCAACAGTCAAACGGGCTATTTTTTTAAGACCATTTTAGACCCTCTGAAACACATTTCAAAATACTTTTTTTGCCCTGCAAACGCTTTAAAATATTTTTTCTTACCTTAAAACTTTAAAATGTGTCCTCTAATTTCGATGTTAAAAAAATTTGAACTACATCATTTTGATTAATTTCTTGTTATAGAAACTGCTAAATAATAATACTAAACCATCCATAAAACAATAAACCACTCCAAATTTTTTCCTAAACAGTTTATTTTCTTAATTTACGACCTGGTTAAAGTTCGTCAAAATTATCTAATTTTCATTAACCCAATGACAATTGACAATGCAGTGTGACATGTGTGTAAAAGAAATACAATGTTGCCATATCAGTTATTACATAGCAATGGTCATTTTTACCTATGCTCTATGTTGTACCAGGCCAACCAATTAACTTCAGTATCAGAAAAATTATATAAAACTAACGATTTAAAAAATACCCATATCAAGATCTTCCTCGCCCTCAACGGCAGAGTACTCTTCGACGTCAATATTGATATACAATAAGAAGACGAAGCAACAACTTCTTGTAGGGAGGCGGCTTCGCCGCGACCAGAAAATTTTAACCCATACCTGGCTACGCCGACCGGCATAGACTCCAAAGGCCTGGACACAGCTCAAATTGAAAAAAAAGTATTTTTTTACAAATATTAGATAAGTATCGACATGCCGAAATTAACGCACAATCATCATGAAATAACCTAACCTAATCTACTCTAACCCAACCTAACCTAACCAACCCTCATTAGCATCTGGCCAGTGAACCTCGGTCTCAACTTTTAACGAACGTGTTTTTATCGTGGGAATCTAATAAAAAGAAAATATACAATAAGACGAAGCAACGACTTCTTGTAGGATGGCGGCTTTTTAACCGAAAATTTTAACCCATACCTGGCTACGCCAATCAGCATAGACTCCAACGGCCTGGACACAGCTCAAATTAAAAAAAAAATATTTTTACAAATATTAGATAAGTACCGACACGCCGACGCACAATCATCATGAAATGAAATAAAAAGACGGATGTCTGTGATTACTACAAATGTTTTCACTTCGGGATCCAAATTAATCTGCTAGCCAGACACTATGTAATGTTTCAGCCAACTTTCATTAACCGAATTATTTCCTGACTTATATGTTTTCTTACTCGATTTGGCAACACCGCATTTATAGAAACTAGAAACGTCAATTGTCATTGAAAATAATTTACTATTTATTTTTCTAACAAACATGAAAAATAAGAAAATTTGATCGTTTATGAAAAAAAATTGGTATGGTGTAATATTGATATTTA